TGCTATAAGAGTTTGTTTTTTCTTGCCAATCTTTCTATAGGTGCGATCGTGCATTCGAAAGCGCATAGACCTTCAAACTCCCCTTTTTTTCCGTGGGATTACGTCTTCCATGGAATCACGTCTTATTATCAGTGTAAGCGCGTCGAGCGCAAATATATCGTTCCGTTACAACATATCGATCATTGCAGAGTAGACGGTCGCGTGAACGGCTGCGCCCACGGTGGGCTTCGGAGATTTGACGGTGTAATCGCAATGCGCGTCCCACTTTTCTTCAGAACGAGCGTCAAAGCCGGATGAATGAAATGCCCAGGGCGAGAGCAGTGACAAATTGGCCGACGCGCCAGGGCCAACGAAATCGTCCCACCGAGAAAGTACACGAGGATGTGATTTCGGGGCATGCCCCGAAAACAAAGAAAAAACGTGGAAGTAAGCCAGCGCGCGTGCACGCGCCCGTGAATCAACAGCGCTTTTTTCTCGGTCGCGCTCGGGCTACTCTCGCGCGAGCGAAAGATATCGGCGCGTCGCCGCTAAGGAGGTCGAAGAAACGCAGCCTCCTCTCTCGCGCTGCAACGGAGACGAGGTTAAAGCGTCTCTGGCGAGGCGCGCGGAGAGCGTAGCGCGAGCACGTGGGCCGCCGCCGCCGCCGCCGCTCCGCAACGGTATCTCTTGCCGGAGCGAGAGAAAGAGGGACTGCCGTGTACACTCTCGCGTCGCATCCTTCTCCCTCGCTCCGCGGACAGGTGTAAACGCTTTTTCCTTTCCAAATCGGCTTTTCCTACCGTACGAATTCCTTCGTACGCGTGTGTGGCATTTACGACTCTTTTATGTTTAGCGCTTTATTATTTTTTGTTTTCTTGCCCTTCTTTCGGCGACGCGTCGGATGCAAAGCAGGAGATAGCCTGACGTCAGGATGTTTTAATCGGACACAAGATCAACCGTAACAATCTCGTGCGCGAGTCGAGTTGGAAAGAAGCGAGCCTGTAATGACTCGGAGTGAAATTACTCAGTTTCACTTTTGACAGCTTGAGACGCAAAAAAGATCGGCGGGGAGTAAACCTCTTTTTCCACGAGAGTACACTTCGACAACGCAATTTATTTGGCGTACATAGAAAAACTGTAGAAAGTCGTTCTGTAGACAAAAGAATCAATTGTCTGCGGAAAAAGTCCAAGGAAGATCAAAGCGCTCGTCTGGCGGTTTTACCGGCAAGCAAATCGTCGACCGCGCATCTCTTCGTATTGACTCTCTCGCGAGATAGGTATTATGTTTGCTGTGTGTGCTGCGACGCGGAACGCTTTACAGCATCGTACCGCGGGTGACGTCCCTCTTTCTTACTTCACGAAATTAGTTTCCCCGGCCTTGAAGACTATACTAGCGTAACGGTTTTAGAAAGAAAAAGACACTCTGGACTTTCGTCGTGGGAGCTTGCGGTAACAATGGCGATCCTGGAAAACGAACATTCTCAAATCGCGAAATCTTCGAGTCGAGCCCATCTCGCTGCGGTGCGAGCAAGCACAGGGCAATCGACAGCGATCGAAATTCGCACGAACGGGAGCGAGAGCGCAAAGTCAGTGTCGGGTCCCGCCGAAAATAATTCCGAGTGCGCGGGGAATCAGGTCGTCCGAATCCACAAGTCGTCGTCGCTATACGTACTGTACTTGGTGGACCAGCAGCTGCCGCAAATGAGACCGACTTTGCCACCCATCGTCGTCCGTTGATCCTTGCGTCGGTGCGCGTGCGGCCTCGTCGCTCGTCGGACGGGCGTCCCGCTAGTCGCTGGCGCGCAGAGCTTGCCGACAGCCCGATCGGCCAGCGGAGCGTGCTCGCAGCAGACGACCAGCCATAACGGCGGCGCGTTCCCTCGGGTCCCGCGATTGCGCGCGACGGGCGCGCGGCGCACGTGCTTCACTCGCGCACAGCAGCGATCGGCCTCGCGCCTTGCGCCGACGTGGTCCGTCGCCGCGGCGGCAGACTGCAGACGACCCGGCGGTGCAGAAGGAGAGCGGCGCATGCACGAGCGGCGAGAGCCACCGGGTGACTGGCGCGCCTCTCTTTCTCTTCTCCGTGACGCCGTGCTCGCGCGCGCTCGCTCTCTCGCTCTCTCTCTCTCTCTCTCTCTCTCGCTCGCTCGCTCGGTCCGCGTGCACTGTCGCCCCGCAGACGTTGGCGACGTTGCCAGCTCCGCAGGCGCGCGCCAGCCCGCTGGCGCTCCTCGAGAGGCAAAGGCTGCGTTTTTTTCTCGTCCCCCTCTATCCCTTTCAGCGCTTTGCCGAGCGGCGATATCGAGCTTGTGCGCGCGCGCGCGCGCGCTCGTTAGCTGCACCGATTCGCACCCTGCTCGTCGAACGGTCACGTGCGCGCTCGTGGAAGGGCGCCGCGACTTCGCGACGAGCCTATTTCATCCAGCTCGCGCTCGGCTCCTTTCCCTCCTCTCCCGATTCGCGCGGGGATCCCTCGGCGCGAGCGACTTCTCGCTCGCAACTCGCTCGAGAGAGCTTTTGTTAATCGCAATCGAAGGTATTCCAGTTCTCCGCCACTGCGCTTGGCACTATCGTTCTTTGGTATCGGTGCTCGGCGTCCCCCGTTCACATTCAAATTCCTTGGGAAATATCTGTCTGCGCGGACGTACATTTTTCCCGGCGGCTCCAAAGGTTATTCATCTCGGCGTGCTCTTTGTCACCGTGGAGACAGCTTTTTTATTAAACTTGCTATTTTCGTTTTCTAGGTTGAAAGGTGAAAGGTTATTTCGGTTAGTTTGGTTGCTAACTGGACGTTCCCTTAACTGCAAGTGACTTTATTCAATTTCCTTCGTTCGCGTTCTTCGTCATCCGAGTGCTTCGATCCTCGCTATTATTCATCGCGATCTTTGCATAATTAACAAGGCGCAGCGTGCGCCAAGGTGAAATAGGTCGTTCGCTGTTAGCGGTGATTGTATTAACTGATTGATAGGCTTATCTTGGCCCTGAAAGCGGCTTTCGTCGTACTCGGTGGACAGCCAACGAATGCTGCGCTCGGCAGCCTAACTTCGGTTCGTCATTCCCGAGCGAATCGTAAGTCGTTTACGAGTTCTGTGCTGCAAGACCACAAGCTCGATCGAACAAACTCACAGCGAATTGCCGCCGCTCGACCCGGGCAAGTCGAGTGACTCTCCGTCGCCGTCGATCAATCGCACCGGAGCATCAAAGTAGCAGACGCTATACCGGCGCAGCCGTGACGATCAAACGTCCTTTCCCATCCCGACTGATTTGCGCGCGAGCGTCGATTGGCTTATACGCGAGCCGACGCGGGCAGTAAGGAAGTCGATTCGCGTAGCAGCGTGCAGCGTCGACGAATGCCTGTTTGGCTTTCGCGATCGATTAACGCACTCCGGATCGGCCCGCCGGTGTCCGCGTTGCCATTACAGATATCCTCGACTTTCTCTTTCGCAGCAGGCTCGCTTCGCGAAACTGTAGGTGTCGCGCGGCTGGACCGGTCCTGACTGCACACTCCGAGTCGTAACCGGGCAGAAGCAGCGTCGTATTCCGCCGCGCCAAGGGAAGTGGCGTGCGCGTGCTGGCAACAGCTGTCCTTCCGGCAAAGTGTCGATGCTCTTTGCGCGGCGCGACGGGCTGGCGATCGAAGCGGTTCGCCGCACGTCGGCGACCTAGTATCCGCTGCTGCCGTGCACGCGTACGCGCGCGGCCCGGGAGATGGTCTGCGAGCGTGTCCGTCTGCGTCTGGATGCGCCTGCGCCCGCTGTGCCGTTGAACTCGCGTAAAAATTCATTTCGCGGCTATAATGAAAGTGTGCGCGCGCGAGAGAGAGAGAGAGATAGCGAACAGAAGGGATGCACGCGCAATTACCATTTCTTTTAGTTCCATAAATATTCAATCGCTCGCTCTACACCGCGTAATGCCAATGAATTCGCAGCTTTAGAGCGATGTGGATTATCAAGTCGCGCGCGCTATACGTCCGCTTTTTTTCTTCTCGACGAGTTGATTAAAATGTTACGCAAGCTGACGCTAGTTATTGGCGTGGATACCGGCGATGTAAGCAAGTAGGCGACATCTATTATTTAATGTTCCTCGGAAAAGGTTATATCTGCGGTCTAACGTGCGGGCGCACCGCGCGCGAAGCGAAATACGACTATTATTTGATTGCAAGAGCTCGCTGAGTAATTTTCCAGATCATTCTGCAAAGTTATTTGCGGTATAGAATGAATAATCCATTGGTTCTCGGTGAATAACTAGATTTATCGCGACACAGTTTCGTCAAACCAAAAGTCGATCGGCTCTTCCTTCGCTATTTTCGCGTCCGCGATTAATCCTATTTGCGGTATCGAGATTACGAAAGATAACCGGGCCGCATCTGCGCGTATCTGTGTTCCAAATGACGCTCGTGTAATTTGGCGCGACAAGCGCTCGCGGCCGTTAAAACGGAGCCGCCGGGTCTGAGCGTTTTTCCTCGCGGCACGGAGGCTCTAATATGCAGCTCTCGGGAGGTAAACGAACACGCAGCGACGCGGAAAAAACGGTCGAGCGAGCCACTCGTGGGCGAGAACTGGTTTTCGCGATAGTAAACACGTACCGATGCATCTCGCCCCGGACTGCCCGTGAGACGCTATAATGTCATAATACCGGATCCCGCGTATCTTCTTTCGGCAGGGGAAACTAGGTATTTCGAGCGAGAGATGGGCGGTCTCGATCAAGAACCGGAGAAAGATGATAAAGCCGACGTGTTTGCTGAGCATGTCGCGTGATAACGCGCCCAACACATTTTCTTTCTCTTCTCTTTCGTTTTACGAGTGCGCGCACGTGTGCCTTGCGGTACCGCGCAATGCCTTCAGGCACAAGACGATAGTGTTACGTTGCGCCCGTCTCCTCTTTGATGACTTCTCGTTGTTTTTCGTTAGGATGTCGTTTTGGATGTGCGATTGATCAATTGTGCAAATGAGGCTTCTTGTGCAGTGAAAGCAATGAGCAACATAAGGAAAATAAAATATAACGTGGTTTTTTTCCATTAGAAAATTTTCGTTTATGTATTGTCTTACAATACAGTCACAGGGTTTTTTTCATACATGTTTTTTCTTTTTCGTGTTTAAGTACTAATCTGAAATTTTTTATATAAACGTATATTCACAGTTGAAAGGTCGAGAAACAAAATTTTCATGCGCCAATATTTGTTAGACGAGGGTTGCTATTTTTCGAATAGGTTACCGATTACTTCTGATAAACTATTCATTTTTTAAATGGCGCATTAAAATTTATGCTCTCAACAAAAAATTTTTTATGTAGTATCATCGTAGCCTCCGAATCGCGAGACTAAACGAAAAGAATAATTGCGTTTAAATTAAGTAACAAATTAATACTGTTTTCTATGTACAATATAAAAAAAATTATTTTTGCAGTACGAGCAATGCATCAAGTACAGAATCTTGTTTATATCTTCATACAGTTTTGTTCGACAGTGTTAAGATAAGAAATAAGAGAGGACGCAAAGTGCAAGAAAGTACGTATTGTCTAGTCTAGTTTAGAGTGCATTAAATTAGGAACTGATACTACTATACAATCTCTACATGTCAAACTGTACAAAAAGCAAATTTAATCATTGCAAAACTATTTCGGTACAACATCATTCCAACAAACTTCCATAAACGATAACTCGATAAATTTTATATCCTCGTTTCAGTTCTAACATAGGTATATTTCTATAAGTCTCCTCTACTCGTATACTTTTCTTTTATAAATTTAAATATAAAATAACTGCTTTCTTACCAATGTTACACATAATCATAAGTACAATAACAGCATCTCATGAAATGTTGAATACACATAATTTGTGTCTTCAAACTTTCCATTCTAATAAATGCTTTTATAAATCGATTTTGTCCACAGAACGATTCAGTAACAGTCAAGGCACAAAACCATTGAACCGCCAAGGAGAAATCGCACTACGCTTTTCGGCTTTTCAAATGTCTAAACCATCTGACGGTTATTGCGCGTGGTTTTCCATTATCAGTACGATTAAATAAAGTAGACGGGGATTCAATTGTTATCGCTTTGCCGCGTGTCAGTCAGTTTAAAATTCTTCAAGGTGGTGCGTGTAGTAACCGCGCTCGCCTCACCGGAAAAGAGCTTTATTGCTTCCGCTTGCATCTTGATGTAATCAGTCGTCGTTAGGCAAAAGTAAACACAGAAAAAATCTGTTCTCGTGTAATTATAATTATTGGCTTGCTGGCGCTTTTTATAACTGTTTGTAATAAGCAAGGCATGATTTTAATTTGCTGTAACTAATAGAACTAACTGGTTTTTTTTTGTTGTACAAGTGGGATAACTATTGTGAGATTTTCTCTGTCAATAATTTCATCTATTAAATACAGTTACGAGAGAAATCTCGTAGATTTACGCTTCACGCACACATACGATCACACCAATATACGATACTCAGATCATCATCGTCTTTCCAACTCGCAACACTGTTTTCTTTTGTTTATTTTATTTATGTCGGCAATTGTTATAAATGAACAGATACAGAAAAAGCGATAAAGAGGAGTAACAACTACGGGATATTAAATTTAGGAAGGAATAGAATGAGAGACATTATTCAAGATATTGTATATAAAATAACAGACTCGTTGCAAGTTGGAAAATACGCGTTATCTGTAATAACAAAAAAGATAAAACAGAAACGTTTATAGCCTTGTTAGTAGATTGGTCGTATTAATCGCCGTAAACAAATCATCAAATGACGAACTGGTACAGAAGGTTGTTTGTGCGCGAGATTATATGACGAGTCGTACAACAGTTTTTTTCATAACCACACAGCACTTTAATTTAAATTGTAAACTAAACGAATGAAAAATTAAATCAATTTCTAGGACCTAATAAATGTTAGTATATCAAAAAATTAATTATACACATTTAATATTCGTGCTTGGACGAGTATTATATTGCTTTCCGCGTACATAAGTATCAATAGAATACGTTTCAATGAGATAACGAACGTCTCATTACTGCTTAATTATTTACAAACAATGATCACACGTCCGCACACATGCGTGCACAAAAACTGTTCGAGAGTACGTACTAACTAGAAGAAGAGAAGAATAAAGGCAACGAAAGCTCCGATTCGCTGGCAGGTACTTTGGTAGTGTCTCTCTTATAGCTGTGTGTCTTCTTGTGGGCGTCGAAAAACAAAAGCCAACCTTTGGCCCAGGAAGGAGGATCGAGAGGTGGGTAAGAAGAAGCAATGCCGCAGCAGCGCGGAATAGCGATATGCACAGTCGGAAAGACGTTGGACGTTCTTTGTATCTGGGCGTCTGCCGAATCTCTCACTTCCTGTACGCGAGGCCAGCACCAGTAGTAGCGCAGTGGTAGAGCCACTCACCTGGGCCATTGCTAGCGCGCGCGAGCTTGGCTTCCAGCGGCTGCGGCGGCGGCGGCGGCTGCTGCTGCTGCTGCGTCGTCGTCATCGTCTTTGCCCTGTGTGAAGCGCCTACGGCGCTCGCGCAGCCTGTAGCTGCTGCTGACGAAGCTGTTGCGAGTGATGCCACCGGCGGCGCCGCAGCTGTAGTAGCTGGCAACCCTCGCCCCGGCTGCTCCTGCAGCAAGCAGGCGCTCGACAGCAGATCCCACTGGCGCAGCTTCTCGCGATCCAGCTCGAAGCTGTTGCTGCTTGTCGCCGTTGCTGCCGCCACTGCCGTCGCTGCCGCTGCCGGGGCAGGGTTGCCTTCCGCTAAAAAATGCTCGGGCTTACGGTACGCCTCGTTCTCCGGGTCCCAGATGTAGCCGCCCGCACCTATGCGGTCCATAGCCAAGCTCTCGTAGGCGTCGTCCTCGTTGTCTTGCGCTCTCATCGCCGAGCCGTCCTTACCGTTGCCGTCGCTTGGCGCGATGGTGCCGTTGCTCATCGTCGTCTCGTCACTGCGCCGCTTTACCCTCGGCCTCTCCGCCGAGTTCGCCACGCTGTCGTTCACGTACGTCACTCCGCGAGTTATCTTCGTTCGGGCGCGACACGACTCGGTCGTCGGTGTGGTTCTTGGACTGCTCGACGGACTGTCGAGGTTGTCGAGCGACCTCGCGTGGCGCAGGCTCACCCTTCTGAGGCTCTCGCGCCACAGGCTATCTTGCTCCCAGGGATCCTCGCCTCCGAAAGCATTGTTCGACTCATTGGTCGCGTTTGCCGCGGGTTCGGAATTAACGATCGGCGGCTCCTGCTGCGGTCGAGCTTGCTGTGCGGCCACCACGGCTTGTTGTCTGTTTGCTCGATTTCTCTGTTCCACCAGAGTTTGGAGACCGGCGTCGTCGAGCAAACCTTCCAGCGACCTCGATCTCCTGTGAGAAGTGGTCGCAGTGCTGGCAAACTCGCCGCCCGACGCGTTGTCCGACTGAAGCTGCGTTTGGCTACCCGACTTGTCTCTCAACCCATGGGGGTATAGGTTTCGCGCGGCGAGGTCGTTCGGCGTGATCGGTGCAGGCTCGACAAATGGCTCGGTCGACTTGACCCTCCTCAACGTGTCCGCTTCGTAGAAATTTCTTCGGTCGACTAGTCCTGCCTTGTCCTCGGCCAGCAACTGGCACGTCGTTTTCCTCAACTCGGCGGCAATCTTTCTCGCTTCGTCGATGTCGTCCACCTGAATCTGCCTTGGCATTTGTCGAGCGATCGGATTAACCATTCTCCCGATGTCGTTGCGCTTGTTCAGGGCAGCAGTATCACCGCGCTGGTTGTTCAACTGCGGCAGTCGCGAGGTGTGTGCAATTATCGGCCTCGCGTGTTGATGATGATGCTCGGGACGAGTTTCGATCGATATTGTATTGGCCGCTGGGAGATCCGAGTAATAGTAAGGGGCGCCGCTCTGGTCGCTCTGAGGATTGGCACGTGCAACAGCAGACGTTGAAACTGGATACTGGCTGGAGTCTTGACTCGAGGATGATCGGTGATTGGGCGAGAGTGAGTAACGCGCGGAATCTTGACTGGCGGACCTCGAGTGATACTGTGGCTGCTGCTGCTGCGTTCGCTGCTCGATGTATGTACTCGTCGGCTGCTCCGTAGCGACGACCGGCGAATGCACTAGCGACGACTGAGCACTCGCTGGCCTCTGTGCCGAGTAGTTGGCTACCGAGGCGGTGCCAGAGACGAACGAGTAACTCGAGTCTCGACTGTGCGTGGCCACGGTATTGGCGAGCGGAGAAGACACGCTCTTCGGCATTCTATAACCGTGCTCGTGATGATGGTGAGCTATCTCGATATCGGATCTTGTAGTCGCGATCGCCGGCGAGAACCTGGATATATTTTCGTAGTGAGCGTCGCCGGTAAACGACTGCGAGTGCTGGTGATTTGCCGTCGGTGGTATCTCGCTCACTCGCATCGATGGCAAGCTGCTGGCGGAGCTTGTTTTACTCTTCGATCCGTACCGATACGGCTGATCGAGGGAAGTTCTACTCGACGTTGTTTCGTTGACCACCATTCCCGCAGCTTTATTCGTCTCGGCGTAGGCTGATTTTTGCAATTTGTCGGCGACGTTGAGCAAGTTTTCATTGAGCCCGTAGATGCTGTTGTAGCTGAGATCCTTGGCATACATCTCGACGTTGAACGCGTCTCGCGCTTGCAATTCTTCGAGATACTGATCCAAGTCGATGCTGGCACCGTCAAATCGACTACCAAGTGACTCTAACTCGTCCAAACTGTCGAGTACTTCGCACATGTCGTCGCTAACCGGGCGTCGTTTTAACTGCCTGACCGCTTGATCGTCGTGAGAGCGCAGCTCGACCGAGTCGCTGCTGTCCAGTGACATTCGACTGTCGTGGAAGCTCAGAGGTGAGCGACGTACTTCCACCTGAGCAGCAGGCTTGTTCCAAGTCTTCGGCGAATCGCGAGTCTGGGCGTCAGGCTTCTTTATTTCTAGTGAGTCGTGCATTTCCAACGAGTCTAGGTCGTCCAGTGGTGGTGGCGACGTGGGTATCGGTGGCGGAGAGACGAGCTCGCTGTCCGACGAGTCGTGTAACTCAGCTATGAGAGTTTGACTGGTGCCTAAGTAATACGATGCAGGCCTGAAAGTGTCGGACAAACTGAAGCGTGGGTGCCGCGGTGCATCAATCGAATCAAGATCTTTGGAAGATTCGTCGTCTGCATCCGAACTGTCGGACTTCAATGCAGTGAGGATATCGGGTAGGTCGCCTCGAGAGTTGAGCAGCGGTGGTTCTCCTGCAGCCTCGTTGTTGTTGTTGTTATTGTTGTTGGCAGTGGTACTCCTCATCAGTGCCTGACTGTTCTCTTCCTTGTCAGCCAGTTGACTGACTTCCATGTACACGGGCTCCATTTTATTGTCAGACACGCACACGAATTCATAGTGCTGATTCTCGAGGGTCGAGTAATCGGAATTTTCCGGCGCCAGGAGCGACCTTGTCAAACCATTCTGCGTCATTTCCACGTAAGAACTCTCCTCTCTCAAGCCGGCAAACAGACTTTCCATCATCTTAGGCATGGGTCTCTCGTCGGCGCTTGGGTCGAGAATGGACTTCCTCGGGGTCATTGGCAAGTAATGCTCCTCCACGTTCGGATCTTCGGTTCTCGTGGGACTGGCGTTGTCGCTATCGCCGGAGAGCCTATCTCCGTGGGTGACCAGTGACTCGGCAACGCTGAGCCTCGCGAAAGCTGGATTAACCGAGTCCTCGATGGACTTGTCGATGTTACTCTGGCTCTTGTCTTGTTCCTTGTATTTGGGCACGATGCGGGTGTCCTCGTCTCGATCGCTGCCTGTCTCATAGAGCAACGTTTCCGTGTCGCTGAAAACGGCGCGCTGCGCTGGCTTCGACTGCTGCTGCTTCTCTTGCTCCTGCCGATGCACCTGTTGCGACTTGCGCTCAAAGTCCGCCAACAGATCTTTCACCGACTTATTTCTGTCGGCCGAGGGCTTTACGATTTCATCCTCGAGCTCCTCCTTTTGCTCTTCGCTACTGGTCTTGCTACCTTTCGGGTCGCCCAGAGCGAACTCGCGAATCACGGTGGCCGTCGCCTTCCTCGGCGAGTCGGCAATGCGAGAGACATAGGCTTCGGGAGCGGGCTGAGGTAGAGAAACCTTTAAGGGCTCTTGCATGATCGTTGCTTCCTTCTCGGGACTTGGATTGCTGGTCTCGAACGATCTGATTCTACTCTGCACCAAATTCACTTGGTCGTTAGTTTTCGGTTCGTCTTTCGGTTCCTCTTGCTTGATGTATTGATAAGAGAACTCCTTGATAACTTTGCTCTCGTCGATGTTCTCCTCCCATTCCTCCTCCTCCTGCTCGTCGTCTTTCACCGAGTCCCATTGCACGTTTTTCTGTACCGGCCACGTTTCCCTAGGTATGTAGCCGGCCAGCGTGCTCAGCCTGCCGGCCTCGTTTCTCGTACTTGGATGATTCGTCGCGTACACTCCGGGAGTCTTCAAGATTCCCGAGGGTTTCTTCGGCGCTGTGCTTTTCGGCTGCGCTTGAATTGTTGGTTTGACTTCCATCTTGGAAGCAGGTCGTGGAAAGCTCATCTCCTCGTAACCGTGAGCTTCGAAATCGCTTCGCTGCTTGAGGATGCCTGCGGGCGGTAAGGTTGCTGCTGGAAGTGGCTCCTTCTCGAAACTCCGCGGACTCCTGCCCGTCGGTCTGCGCGTACGCTTCCGCCTCACATCACTCAGCTCTGGAAGATTCCGAGTTTTGGCAAACAGAGAGACATGTTTTTAGTTACACTTTAGTACTTTTCACATCATGTTCTTTGTCTTGTTTTCAAAGGTATACGTGCAGAGGGATAAATGAGACCTTGAGGTTTCCCTGTATCAATTTAATATAACGATAAAAAACAGATATGCAAACTGAATATTATTATTCAGTGGTGAGACGTTTCAAAAGAATTCGCACTCTGACTCTCAGCGAAATCCAGCAAAAAAGAGAATATACATATGTATACGCGGTGTAACTTTATATTATCGACAGTGTGGTCAAACGTATTTTTGCTTTTATTTTATTACTTCCAAACTTCAAGGTCTCGTTGGAGGGGTAACAACCTGTTTGTACAGGCGAAGAGTATACCATTAAAAGTGAAACCCCTGCGACGCAAGGATTAAATGTGTGAAAGACCACAAGCCACAGAGTAAAAGAGGGATCAAGACAAAGAAGAAGAAAGAAAGCAGATAGAGAGAGAGAGAGAGAGAGAGAGAGAGAGAGAGAGAGAGAGAGAGAGAGAGAGAGAGAGAGAGAGAGGAAAACATGAGAGTGTAATGAATTTTTTCGTCCCTCACGTTGTTACACACGTGAGGCACATCGCAATTAGTATACCGTAACAATAAGCAAGGCGCGGACGCGCGTGTGTTTGGAAGAAAACGACTTGGCGGTTTTATTAGTTCCTCTCCAGACAGACGTGCGTCATGCAAAAGCAAGAATTTCGTCTCGTTTCGAACTAAGTTTTGATACCGAGATCGAAAAGAAAAGTGCAACCTTGGACTTGTTTGTTTTCTCGGAATTGCGTGAAAATAATTGTTCACTACCTCGGGAAATGTCCGATAGAAAATGAATCGAATCTTTTTACAAGTTTTGTTAAAGAAAGACTCGGCAAAGATTAAATAACGAAAGAGTGTTTGAGAGAAGTACGAAGCAGTAATGGCATAAAACAGAATACTATTTAATTTGAAGGAAACTTAATGGGAGCTTAAGATTGAGAGACTAAAGCGGATGGGATAAAAGCGGAATTTCTGTTAAGTACGATAAGTTACACTGTTAAGTACCAAAGTGTTAATAAATACATGTTTCCAGTCACCAGAAAGCCCAGAGCCCAGGCCAGCAATAACAGAGGCGCAAGAGAATCCCCTCGACGCCCAGCACTTATTATTTCACGTTTCGCTTTGTTGCGCTGCATCTCGCACACACTTATTTGCGCCACGACAGACATCACGTTATAACACAAACACACTTGTCAGGTGCACCTTTTTGCGACGTCGCGGTGGCCATCAACGTTCTCTTTCACATTTATTTACACAGTCGCACATCTCTCTTACCGCCTTGCCCTCGGTTAGTCAGCCGATTTTTTGGACGGTTAATGGGGCGCAATTTACAGATGCCACACTAATGTTATAGCTATTAGTATTAGTCGAATAAATTCAGACGGGAGGACACGTACTTGGTTTACCTTAAGTACCTGGCCTACGGAAGAGAGACTTTCTCAAATTCACAATATTGTTCATTAGTCGTCTATCTTAGTCTATGAGAAAACAAGATTCGTACGTAAAAGATCAATTGTCGTGTTGCTTTGGCAAGAGCATGCGTGTTTTGTATTATGATTAGTTCTAAATTAATGGAAATCAATGAAGTATAATGTTAATATACAGAAAATCGTGTGAACCATCAGGGATCCCATGGTAAATAAAGAGTCGTACGACGCACACACGGGGAAGCTTTGTTAACGCGAAACAGTGCTGGAGGCGAGAGTAGCTGTTAACGGCGGATAGTAAAATCTGGCGCGCAGGGCAAACGAATAGCGCGAGAGCCGAAAGAGAAGCCGACGGGATCGCGCGCGAGGTTAGCGTGTCAGATGACGAGCTCGGGCGATTCGCTGTGCCTACCTTCGTCGTCGCTGCTGTAGCTGTTGTAACGCGGCAGAGCGGCGACGCCACTGCTGCCGGTCCTGCGGGCGTCGGTGCTCTTGCTGCGCGGATGGTGGGGCCGGTGATGAGCGTCCTCGCGTCTGCGATGCCGATGGACTTGCTCGGCGAGGGCCGCTTCGTGAGCGGCCAACTCGAGGAGTGCCTGCTGCTTGTAGCAGTTGGCCAGCTCGGCATTGTGCTGCTGCTGCTGGCTGGTGCGCTGAGACGAGGAGCTCGACGACGCGCCGGCCGTGGGCTTGCGGGTCAACGGCGACTGCAGCATGCGCTGCTTCCACTCCAGCAGCCGCTTCATCGACTCCTCGCGCTGAAAATATACGCGCGTCACATTCGTCGCCTTTCTCCTGATGATGTTTCCCTCGGTTCTATATTTATCTCGGCAGACCGAACAAAAGCAAAGACAAATCGGCGCTGCGGTTAACCGACACAGAATTTTTTCAATATTTCATCGGACCAAACTGAACGTAAACAGCTTTAAAACGGCCACTCCCGAACGAATTCATCAAGTTGTTTGAAAATCAAAATGTGTACGCAGAGACGCATAAACATTCGACAGTGTTATCGATGATGCACTTGTTAGATCAGCGAATAAGTAAAGCAAGTAATCAAAAATGGACGATTGCATTGGTGTATTACGTATCGGGGGTTGCAAATTTTCGTATATTTATCGACTCGTAGCGTCATTTTCAGGTAAATTAATCAAATTGATATAGAAAAGCACTCATCGGTTGTTGGTTTAATAATCTTCATTTGGCCTTTAACAAAAACTAACTGCATCTAGTAGCGATAACAGACGAATGGGTATTCGTTATCAACAAGGTTCGACGTAAAGTAAAGAGCACTTGGAGTCACGCGCGCAAGTAAAGTCGGAGTCCCTAAGACGTCCAACATCGATGTTAAGCGAGCGTATCCTCATTCTCTCTCACCCATCGTTCGACTTTTTTCCGGAGCATGACAAACGCGCTTGAGGTGCGCTCGCGCACAAAGGTTCTGTCTCAGATGAGACAAACGAAGCAGCGCCGAGGACGAGACATGTTTGCCGCCGTCGCTGGTGAGCGTCGAAATAGCGATGAGTCACGTGTGTAAGAGGCTGGCGTTCGTGCGAGCGGAGGTGAAAGCCGACGGTGTCGCCGTGAGCAGGTATTGTAGGTGCGCGCGCGACCAACGCCGCGAAGACACTGCACTTGTTGAGCGAGCGAGCGAGCGAGCGAGCGTGTGATTCATGCCGAAAGGCCAGCAGCGACGACCGGAGTTTTTCTTGGCGAGCGCGCGCGTCCATGCCACGCACACGCTCGTGCGTGCCCTCGGCGGGTTTTCCACTGACACGCTGCTGCGGCCAGGAAACGCGTTTGCACGGCTAAGAATGTCGCGGTGCTCCATCAACGCACACCGCTGCCTCTCCGTTTGAGCCATCTCCTTTCTCTTAAGCAGAGCTAAGAGTACGTCGACGTGTCTATCGATCACGATCTTTTCTTAGCTCTTTGTCGCCACTGACAAAGCATACGTTTACGGTAAATATTTTTCGGTTGACATTTTTCTTTCCGTGCAGTTTCGAAATAAATTCTCAAAATGAAGACGCTGCTGACGCGAATGTACAACAATTTCTCAGCCTGACAATAACGACATTTTCAAACACTGCCCCCACCGACCCCAAAAAACTAGCGCGTTATATAAAAATCACCTCGTTTCCGGAACCGCATTCGCACGAATAAGCTCGTCAACGAAGCAAAAAATAAAGAAACGCAATCGAAAAACAAACAACGATGCTCACTTCCGTGTTACTCATTACGAAAAGCTGCTGCTCACCTGTTGAATCTTGCGCTCGCCGTCTCGCGAATCTTGTCCAGATGATTTCTCAGCGTAATCATCGTCGTCCTCGTCGTCGTCGTCGTCGTAATCGATGATCGGCCGATTACGTGGTAACCGAGCACTGGCAGACCTGGCGAACTGTTGCTGCTGTTGCTGCTGCTGTTGCTCGGGCCAACGGCGCTGGCATTCGCGCGAAAGTGATCGGCCCGGCGACTGATCACCGCCGCCGTGAATCAGCGCTGGATTACGAGATTCGCGCAGCGAGCGTCGTATGTGGGCCGCTTCGCTTGCTGTCGTTCGCCTGCGAAGCGACAATTCGATGTCTCGATTTAGGCCAACAAATTAACGTGTTGACGATACTTTCGATAATTTGTAGTGATAAAAATGCTCGGTTTGCGACAAATTATCTGTTGCCGTAGAATGTGACAGTATATACGGAAAAAACAATGAGTCATTGAGTTTCTTAATATATCGTCGTATTATTCATTTTTATGATTGATAGCTTCATACGATCAGATTAAAATAAGCCGTTGAATCCACTTCCAGTTGTATTTGATACGTTATAAGTTGTTGTTATAGATTTTAACAAACTGATAGATAATTTCTTGTTAGTTTGAAAAATTTTGCGATTGTATTCGGATCCAATATAATTTGCGAAACTCTCTAAAAAAATATAGAAAGCTTACTCGGTGTGCCTCTGCAACGAGTGAGGCTGATGCGGATGTTCCCTTTGCGATCTTCGTACGGATGTGCAGGACATTTCCGAGAGCGTACCGATGCCGGATTCGGTATCGCGCGACACAGACGATTTGGATGGCGTGGTAGCCCTCGAGAGTGACGGGTTTCTTAGTTGCTGTTGCTGTTGCAGTTGTTGCTGGTGTTGCTGCTGCGAAGGCTGAGTTTGCTGAAGATGAGGTGGCGCTTGATGGAAATAGACGGCGCTCTGGCGCATTTGAGCAGCATACCTGTGTACACGGAAACATGTTGCTTATGCCTTATCACGTTCAACTATTCGTGTCTTATCGCTTCGAAGACTGTCGATGTCACGTGTTTACTTTATCACGTAATTTTGGATTTCACCAATGATTCATTTTACCGTCTAAACATTGGTTTTATCGTAAGCTCGACGTAACGATCGCTGCTTTTGCGCAGAGAATACTTTGCTACTGCGACGTCGAAAATGTGCAAGAAAATTAATTAAATTACATTCGTAGTAGGGACGATAAATTAATCGACGTGGCGTCACAAATGCAGGGCTTTTTAATAATCTAAAAAAGTGCATCCTTTGAAAATCTACCTCTCTTCCGAGTAGAAGTAATTGTCACCAACGGCAACGTCCGACGGATTAATGATATCCAGACTAGATTTTGGTCGCTGCGGACATCTCGTCTGGTTGGGTATATTGCCAGGCTGCGTGAGCGTTTGTGGACTCCGAGTCGCCTCGTATTCTAAAAAGTCAGCGCTGTGGGGCCTTGGCGGTTGCTGTGACTTCGGCTGTTGCTGTTGCCTCATCACCGTTACAGCTGCAACGAAAATATAAACATATCTACTTAGTATTGCACAACAGTGGATTAAAAAAAAGTAAAAAGCTACCCGTGGTGCAATCGTACTTTATAATTAAACTCTTGATAAAGAATAAGTTTCGAGGTGAAACAGAACAAAATTCTGTTGGTCGACAAGAACCGTTTTACCAACATTCACGGAAGAATCTAATTCTCTTGCAAAATCACTCCGTTTACTCATCGTTAAATCCGTACATTCAGAGAGAGAGAGGGGGGGGAGTAGAGCAGCTGCTAAGCGCTTTCATAACGGATTAAGCCTCCCATCGCAAGACAAATAAGCGGCTATAAAACGTGCCGTTGAACGTACCATTAGTCACAGGCCCCGTAACGACGTAGTACTGCGGGTGCACCTGTGCTGCCGCTGTTGGCGGCGGTGGCGGCTGTTGCTGCTGCTGCTGCTGCTGCGCATATACGGGAACGGTAATTGGCGTGGGCGCGGATCCTTTCGTGTAGCCGACTGGACCGGCTGGCCTCTGATACAATTGCGGCGGTGGTGCGGCGTAGACATCCTCGTAGTCGGCCCCGTTCACCTGCCTTCTGGCGTTTGGCTTGGCGCTACTCCTGCCGTAAGTGTCGGGAGTTCGTCTTTCGGACGGCTGCGCGAATCCGTAGTTCAGGCCCGATTTGTCGGTGCGGAGATTCTGCTGCTGCGCGGACGTGAGTCGTTGCACGCCGTAAACGGGATTCGGCGTTCTCGCGTCCACGTACTCCATCGACAGAGGACTCTTGCTCGACAAGCGCCCGTCCGGCGACGGCGAAGGATTGTCGCTCATCCTTCGCGGTTTGGGCGGCGCATTGGCGTAAACCGGCTGGCCGTAGTTGCGCGGTCGTTGTGGGTAGAAGACCGGTTGTTGTTGCGGGTTGTACGGTTGTTGCTGTTGCGGCTGCGGCTGCTGATGTTGCTGGTGGTGCTGCATCCAGCCGTTGACCATGGGCTGCGGCTGTGTGTCATTGTTGTTGCCGTTGTTGTTGTTGCTGTTGCCGCTGCTGCCGGGAAACGAGCCTGTGTTCACGCTGTTCGGGCTGGAGTTGTTGTTCGATGGCTCGTCGCGCGATTGGAAACCGTGGAAACCCGAGTCGCTGTCGTCCGCGCTCTGGTTCATCGTCGACGAGATCGACGAGACGCTCGGTCGTGCGCTTCGTTCGCCGTTTTCGCCTTCTCCTGCTAGCACTATTTCTCCTCCTCCCCTGTTCAGAAAATACAATCTTTAGAACTTCTTATTCAACTTAAATACACTCAAGGATAACAATATCTGTCGGTCTTTTTCAAAATCTCAGCTATTTAGATATCTCGAATAACGGTTTATAATTGGACGTCAAACAAATGTTATTTAGGTCTGGAGCTGGATTCGGTAACGTCATCAACGTCATCGTTTTTTTAACGATAATTCACAATTACATTTTTTCTGCAACTCATTCTTTTACAATACACTTTATCTCGACGAACTTCCGGTTAGAGACTGTCGATCGGATAAATTGACCAGCAGATGAAAATATTTCTCGGTACAAGGAAATCGAATCAAATCCATCTGTATTATTTCGTTGTCTCCCGGCGGCGCCGCGCAGGAACTAGACTCGCAACTTTGCAAACCGTGATTTACAAGTATTTCAAAATTCAATTTGCAGGCAGTTCGCTGCTACAACTTTTCCCCCGTATTTTCATGAATAAGTTGAAACGCGCGCACGAACTCGTCGATGCGCGGTCTTATTAATTGATTAGTTCGAGCATCGGACTTGCACCGGTATAAATCCGAGATCCCAGGAGGGCTTTAATTGAAAAAAAAAAAAAATTTTTTTTCCGGCCGCTCCTGGAGGATCAAAACTAACTAACTAACGAGTTGGTACAGTTGCACTTGGATTACAAAGTTGCGCGCCCCGCACAGCGTCCAAATACATTTCGACGGTTTAAATGAATATATAGTTCGCGCTGGCGAGCTGTCGCGTACGCAAATGCCGGAAGTAACTTTAGAGAGAAGACTAGAGGCCAAGTGATAAAGGGGAAACAAGCGAAGAAACGGACCGGAAGCTGAAATAAGTAAAAATTATGCGGTTTTACGCGCTCATCCCAATATTTAGCTCGCTGTGTTTCACGATATTTAAAAAATTAGCAGGCGTTCGGGTCTTACTGCTGCTTCGGTTAAATGAAAAGGACCGGCTGTCGCGGTTAAAAGTAAGTCTGTATCGTCGCTTGGTTTTGCCGTATCGATTGGTCGGGCGAAAAAAACAACGAAAGAAATTTGCCGTACGCGTGCGTAAAAGCGCGATCGGTCTCTCACCGTCTGTAAATTACGCGTGCACTTCGGTAAACGATCACGAGAACTCTCCGGCAGTCACGGGCTCGGCGTAAAATTCAACCGAAGTAATAACGTTTCGAGCCGACGTTGCAGTGTCCGCGACGCGAATGCGCGCGACGGCTTTGCGCCGCCGATAGCGTTGCGAGCGAGCGACTGGCGCGCGCCTCCGAATTTCGCTGATCGCGCGACTCCGCGCGAAACGCGTTAATCTCCATCGACGCGCGACTCGCTGCGCGTTTGCGAGTCGCTGAAAGCCGTTCGATGACGTTCGCATCGGCGACGCCCAGGGCAGCAGGCCAGCGAGTCGAATGATTTTCCGCAAGAAAACTCGTCGACGCAGTCGAACGAGCGGCGTGTACTCACGGATTGGGGTCCTGCAATAGCGAGGCGAGCGTCAAGGCGTTCACCCACTGGTTCATAGCCTCGCGAGTGTCGGCGGCAAAGTGGTACGTCCGCATGTTGGCGTGCTCGGCTTTGAAGGCGAACTTCTTGTTGATCTTGTCCTCGGGCCTGCACACCGTGATGCGGTACGACGGGAGCAGGATCGAGCCCAGAAGCTTCTCCTCCTCCGGACCTGCGAACGGACAGGCACGAGACAAATTAGCTCTCGATCGGCCCCCGAGTCGCTTGCAGGCGTCCCTTGTCGTCGAGCGTCGCTTCGTCCAGATACAAATGGTGCGCGGCAGCAGTCGGCACTGCCGACCGCGTGTTTGTCCGGCAAACTGCGCGAGAGTTCGATCACCGAGGCGAATCGGTGCTCGTTTTAGCACCGAGTCCGCGGGCCGACGCGCTTATCGAGCCGCAAAGACGGCGTGCTTCGAAAGCACCACCGATGGCTTCTCGAGTGGAGTGCGATCGGCTGCTCGCCCTCTAATCAGCGTCGAAAGCGCCGCTCATCGAGCACACTCCGTACCTCTTTAACGCCAATAAGCGGATGTGCCGAAGGAGACGATGCTTTGGCTCGGCTACGCGTCGACGCGCGACTATCCCGACAAATGTCGAGACGCCGACGCGCGCGAGTGCCTAGGTTAAAACTGCGCCACGGTGCTTCGCGTCGCCTTCGTTTTTCCCGCTCGCGCGCGGAACAATTCCGACGGAATCCCGCCAAGTGGCGCAAAAGGGCTGCCGCAAAGAAAGTTGTCGCGGCGACATTCGCCGAGTAAAAAAAAGAGAAAGAGGCCTCGTTCGACCGCCGTATTTTTTCATCTCGATCAAAGTCGCGAAAAGGCCTCTCGCGTCAGAATGCGAGTAATGCGAGGGTGCGCGGGCGCGCGACAAGTCAAGGGTAGAAAAGTGCGTGCGTGGAATTCGCACGTGAGTGCGCGCCTGTGCGCACTACTCGCCAAACTCGTTTCTCCATAGGTGAATCCCCTGCCTTATACCTTCGCAGCATCCTTCTGCGCTTTCTCTCTCTTAATTTAAATTCCCGCGCAGCTTGATTTTCCTTTAATGCCGCGGCTCGCTCCCTCTTTCAGCCTTTTATATACCTTTAACGCGTAGCGTACTTTCGAGGTTGGGTTGGTAGCGTCTACCGTGAGCTGGATACAAGGCTCTTGCGATCTTTCGAATTGAGCGTCAAAGTGGCGACTTTCAATCAACTATACGCTTCGCTATCCCAGTACGATATCTTTTGAAAGAACGCAGGATAAAATCACTCGTGCGAACATAAACAAAAGGGACACGATGCCGAAGCTTGGCGACCGGGATGTATTCGAAAAAATTGATCCAAGTTGTCATTCGCACGGCTCTTGCACGCGGCGTGCTGTCGATGGAACCAAAACCAAAACGAAACCAACCTTTGTAGTAGAAGAGGCAGTACTCGGACAGAACGAACCATCGTTTCTTCCAGAGCATAAGTCCTTCGGAGCCTTGCTTGTGCAGCCATCCTTGAAGGGCAACGGGTGCGGACACGGGCCTCTTGGCTGCGGGCGATCTCAAGCCTTGAGTCGGGGCGCTGCGTCGTCGAACCCCCGATATCGATGGGGTTCCCGACTCTTTAGTTTTCGCCGCTGGTTGCTGCGACACTTGCTGGTGTTGCGGCTGCTGCGGGGCCGCCGTTGTCGTTATCGGCCCCGACATTTGGACAATCTGCAACGATGGATGAGTCTGAGCTTGCTAATGGAAAAATCGTTATGTCGATCGCATGGCGTCTCGGCTAAAAATTGACAGGTGACGGAGGTTGCGGAAAGGGGGGATCCCTTTCAGCCTCGAGGGAGACGCCAAGTAATTATTTTCTCGGTCGGCTAGCTAAGCAGTTTCGCTCTAGAACATAGATTATCAACTCTTGCCCGCGACCTCATAAACCTCAACAGATTGAACTACAGCCAAGAAACTGACAAACTGCATGCGTAGCTGCAAAAAATGCAGGAACACGTTTATCGTTGTAAACAACGGGGCGCGGGCAAGTGACGGATCTCGCTCTCGCGTTCCACTTTTGGTACACGCGCACGATCGATTTATATTAAATTCTCGCGGTGCTCGAAGCTGACTAGAGGATGAATTAGAGGACGCGTGCTCTTAATAATAAAAGCCCTCGGTGTTGCCCGTGCGCAGCTGTCGTACATCGCCAGTGAAAACAAGCGAGAGCCGACAAGTATGGGACTCAACTTTTACATCAACTTTTACAAATCCACCTCTCATCGATTCCACGAATCGATGACTTTTCCAATTTTCTTGTTATTTCCGTTACTTGGAGGAAACAAAAGAATACCCATGTGCATTTTAATTAATTACCTCGCTGAAACATTAGCGACTCGATATAATCGTCCCGCGGCCCACAGCTACATAATATTCGCATTGCTCTCAATAAACACTTGAGGCAGCAGCGCAATTGAATATTGATGGATACGAATCGATTAACGGCGACCGATCAAAGAACATCCAATGATCGATTGTATACCCCTCGTTATACTTCGTGACTTATCGATCGACTTTAATATATTCGCGTTCCTCTGCAGTGTTGCAATGGATATCGAGATACAGCAGCGTGCACAGCGAAAAATCGAGATAAAAAAAATAACAACGCGCTTGCTGAAACTATAGAATCCTGTGTTCGATCGTGCTTCCCAGAAGTCATTAAACACCTAAAAATCGACACGTCAATTTCTCACTCGCCATGAGAAAGAAAAGAATTGCGCCACACCCCTAATAAATCATTTTCTCTATCGGTCTCGTTAAAACATTCTCTCTCTCTCTCTCTTTCTCTCGCTCTCCAGACGTTTTCTTCACTCATAATGGGTCAGCCGTGTGCAGCGTAGAAACCGCATGGGTCGTGGGGGGGCTCGTCTATTGCAAAATCGATATTCTACCGCGATGGCTATAACGTCGCTCTCTCTCTCTCTCTCTCTCTCTCTCTCTTGGCTGTTCATCTACATCAATGCACCGGCGGCGGAGGTGCGCGCGATCGCCGTGGGTGTAGGATATATACGCGTGCACGCACGCCGCATACTGTGACGTTCCGCTGTTCGCCCGTTAACACTGCAAAGTCGCTTGAGCCGTCGCCGCCAGAACTGTGCTTGCGTCGCTTCGAAAGTTGATGTGCCCTCGGCCGCGACGCTGAATTTATAACCCTGCCGGAAACGTTCACGATAGCAATGAGAGTCGCGATAAAAAGCAGCGAGCCTTCGAGAGCACGCGCGAGAATTAAAACCAAACGGGAGCGCTTGCGAGATTTTCGTCGAAAATTTTCGGCTAGAAAGGAAAAACCGCCTGACAAGCGCATCTGATAAATCGTCGCTAGTCACGGCAATGGTGATTAAATCTCCGACTGAATCAATTGCTAGCGGCGCGGTGCAGCAAGCTTTCCGAGATTGCGCTTGATAAGCAAAATTAATCTGGCAATAAAAGGCTTTGAGCGCAGTTGCAAAGGATGCTATGGACGCCGTGACGTGAATTTGTGCGGGGCGAAAGCCACAAATTCAAGGTGGTAAAATTCACGATGAACGCGCGCTCAAGATAGTTGACCCCTTGACGTCTTTGCAGTTGGGCGTGAATTCGCGAATCGCGCCTGTTGCCGGATGCAGAGCACGATAATGGAATTACGGCGACAAGGGTTCGACAAACCTCTCGGTCTGAAAAATCAATGCTGCCGCATCGTACGTCAACTGAAAGCACGTAACGACATCCCGCTACACGTCACACACAGTAATGAACCCTCTCTAAAAGCAGCTCCGAAGCAAAGAAAAGAAGGGGGGGGGAGAGCTTGCGAGCGAAGCTTTTGCAGGCATATAGGGTCGTTGACTGTCAGCTGCGGTTTCGCGGTTCGGAGAATCGGGTCTAAGAGCGGATTGACACACTCACGGATTTCCGCGCTCTCGACATTTTCGACGAACAAAAAAAAAATTGGTCCTGCTTTTTCCCGCGTTCATAAACATCAAAGTTGCCGCGCCGCCGAAACACCTTTTTTAAATTTCTCGTACAACGTGGAGAAGTTAGCATTTTGAATCCGTGACGCCGCGTCCGCGTTCGTGTGTATGTAGTCCATTGGCAGATACGAGAGTTTCGAAATAAATTGGTATGCAGGATAGGCCAGTCGGCAGCCGAAGGCACAACAATCGTACTGTCTTCGTTGCTGTGCTATCGTCGCTCCTCGGACCGTTTTGATGCCGAGTCATCGCAAAAACTGATCGACGGCTAGTGGACTTTTGACAAAGAGGCGTCGTAACCAAGGATCCATCGTGTATCGCCGTGGTCTAAGCGCAGCGACAACAGCCCTGGGCGACGGGCCGGTCGGCGTGTCGTAGCACGCTAGCGTCGAGATAAGTACCTCGTGACGGGAAGCCAGCGAGCCATTTACGTAAAATTCTTGACAGTTAATGCAATTAGCTCGATCGACATCGATACCGTAATGTTCATGATTCATCAAAGTCGTGAAACGTCAGCGAAACACGTGAATTTGGAAAGTGCACCGGTAGCTGTCGCGATTGTCTTTTCATTTGATCTCGAGCCAGAAATTCCTCTCTCATTGGTATCGCGTCAAGCTTACACTCCCTTGACCGAGCATGATATGTGCAAGCTTAAAAGCTCTTGGATGAAAAGAAATAATCGCGCGCGCGCGACTCTTAATTAATGATGCGCGCGTTCCGCTGAAAAAATAAACGGAGCTCAGCTCTCAAAAAAGCTTTCAAAAGGGAAAAGGCGACGATCCTCTCTCTCGGACTAATTACAGACCAACAAGCTCTTTGCGCGTGGCTCGCGTGGATGAATTCTTTCAATAAGCCGCCGCGTGCTTGCCGTCTAACGAGGAGTTAATGAATTCCCGTTTAATTGACAACTTTAAAAACGAACAGCTGCAAAGATCATCTAATACCGATAGGTCAGTCCCATAAAACAGCTCGTTAATTATCCCGGCGAGGGAGCAGAGAGCAGCGACGTTCGGACCGCGCCCGACGGCTGTATGTGCACGTAGCGCCGCTCGTGCCATTGTTCGCGGAATATCGATGGACAGAGTCCGGCTCCTCTCCCATCCTCCTATCGCCTCCTCAATCCTCGACGACTCGGCCGTGCCGGGCGCTCCGCACACCTGCATAAGTATGATTATACGTGCCGCGAGTATCATCCGCGTACGTGCGTTTACGCGAGCGCTATCTTCGAGAAGCGACGCTCGGCTCGCTGGTCGCTATATGTATTTGGAAGAGGACACGACGGCGTAAATGGGTCAAATTGCCGGCAGCGCGTGTCAGCAGCTGCGCACGGCTATCTCTTGTTTTCTTTTAGAAAACTGTCAATCCGACGTACGGCGATTAACAGTCATAAATCATTTGGACACGAAGCTGACCGATCAGCACAGTTGCCGCTGCTATTCTTCTCGTGGATATTGTTTACGCGAAGCGAGCCGTCGTCGCGGCTGGTCCGCGCACATCAATTGGCTACGGGCTAGTGGTGCAAGCAGACAGCGCCGGTTTGTGTGCCACGCGACAAGCGCAAGCGTCTCTCGTCGGCAATGTTGTTGTCACCAAATTCTCCCCGAGCGTGAATACGTTCTATTGAGCGTCGATCCATCCAATAATTATCCGGATTATTGCCGCCGTGTGTCCTGTTCTTCGATTAACGTCTATATAGTTATTAAAGTATTTACTTCAAGCGAAGGACAGTTGTTTTTCGTCAGTATTAACGACCGACAAATGAAACATAACGTACCTACTTGAAGCTCTTACAAGCATAACGACAGAACCTTGTTTCCATGTTAAACGAGAATATTCGACTTTGATCCTGAAACTCTGCCTTGAGAGCTTTTCGCAAGCACAAATGTATTTTCTGAAAAACAGTTTGCCTTGAAGTTTGTCGTGAATAAAGACTCGTTTATTTCTGTGCGGTGAAGCTCTAAGGTATGCAAATGGAAAAGGAGAATGATAGCTACTTGAAAACAAAGATCATTTGATTTATTAAAATGCTTCAGCATTGCTACGGAGTGCAAGTGAGATTTGTTTGCTCGCAGGTTGACCATGAAAAATTTAAGAATATCCTCAACCTGTACTCTGTTCGAAGTGACATTAACATTTCATTCGCAGCAGTACGTTTCTTAGAAAACGTTTCTTCCCAACTTCCAAACTTAATTATTCGGAGAAAAGTTGAGAACAATAGACTTTGGAATATACCGAAAACGTCATGAAACTTTGTGCCAACCGGAATTTTTTCATTGCTAATACTCGGCCAATTCGTTTCCTTGATTTTCCCATCGCCACTCTCTTCAATTGAATCCGTCACGAGCGGCACTCGTCCGCGAAGAAGTGGCGTGGCGTCGCCAAATTGCCGAACAATTAGAATGCACAAGCGGTGAGGATGGTCGGAGTTGGCGATATTAAAAAAGTACCAAGGCAAGCTCAGCAGCAGGCTGTCGAGAGAGTCGGGCGAACGAACTCGCGAATCTCTCTTCCGCAACTCGAAACATAATACCCGTCCGGAATTATGCAAGATCCTTCTTAGTTCGGTAGCGAGTTTGCCCCACCGCCGCGCCGCGCGCAATATCCGCGCTGGGATTACTCCGTCTTAATCTTTTTCTTTTTTTCTTTTCTTTGCTCCGAGGGCTCTTTCTGTCTATTTCTCTTTTATATAGTATTCAAGCCAAAAACTCAAAGTTCACTATATCTTAACAGTTAATCTCGAGCGAAACGCGGCTGGTAGTTTGCATAGCTCGATAATGGCAGAAAATTACGCGACACCTTGCTATGATATCGCGGAAAACAAACATTTTTCTTTTTTAATTTAACTAACACGCTTTTAACGTATTATAAGAACGCTTTTATAACTTTTACTTGATTGAAGCTAGGCTTTGTTTGTTCTCAGTTTGTTCTCAAGGACGCTTTCCTTTTTTAAATAAAATGCCGATCTAGCATTTACATTAACTAAAAATTCATGTCATATCCTTACGGCCGAATCAAATTTTAGCTATATCGTATGTCATGTACCATCCTGTTGACTGCACTCACAGCCAACGCCCAATCTTCCAAAAAGCCATCCGCGCGATCCTCCAAACCGAATGTTTTATTCATTCGACGTTGGAGCTAAAGCGTCAAAACGAGCTCACGCAAGACTGCATTGTTCAATTGAAAGAGAAAAACAGTCACGAGGTCCTCTGGACGCCACCACGACAAATGCAGGACGACTTGTCTCTGCAAAACAAGTAATAGTTGGCTCTCGCAGACAGAGAGAAAGAGAGAGAGAGAGAGCTGAGAATTACGTGCAAGTTGCAAGAGACGGCCAACTAATTTCGCATGCCGCGGCGCCAGCAGCTGGGCCGAAATCCTCTGCTGCCGCATACTCTCTTGCCACCGCGAGGAATCGCATTAGCGCGCAATCTCGCGCGCACTTGTAACTGTCCTGGAGTATAGATCTCCTGGGACACGACGAACTGCCCTTGTAATTCAAGCACTACACCATGCCTAACCTGCTCTCGGACGCGCGCGTTTGCCCAACGCGTCGGCGCCATTGCAATTGACATTGAGTTTCAAATAAATCGGATTTCGATCGTACGCCAACAAATAAATAATCCACGCGCTCCGATTTGATATACGAGAATTTTCATTTCGATCGGACGCGGATCCGTTTGTGTACACGCGCGCGAGCGAATCTCAACGTAATCCCGTGGGTACACGAGCGCAAAAGCCGCTTTAAATTTGCTAATAAAAAAGATGCAGCGCTATACCGACGTATTCCCTGATGCATTTTTCTCGGAGTAAGAAAGCGCGCATTCACTCAAGTGCGAGCGAAAGAGAGAAAGAGCCTTTAAAATATTCAGGCGGCCGAGAGAAAGGCGAAAAAGCACGCGACCCAGTTACACCTGGACTGACACACGCGCGCGCGTCTTTCGCGGCTAAGGAAGAAAGGAGTCGAAAAACAAAAGAGACACGTCGGGGTTCGGGATGGAACAGCACTCGTTTCACCACCTTGTCTCGATAACATCTCTTGGCGCGTGCGGGCGTGGCTCTGTTCTCGATGTCCCTGCGCGAAAATCATCCTTCGGGGATCCCGGAGCACAAAGTGTCTGCAATACGTGTCATGCACCTCGCGCCCGATTCTCGATGTGCGCGAGCTTACGCTCCTGGTGTTACCGGAGTGTTTTCGAATCGATCATTCGGTGCGTAATAATTAGCAAAAGTCATATTTTGCCAAAGTATGAACTTACCTTTTTACTGTCCATTGAAGAGGTTGAATTGGTCACCGGCTGGTCAAGCCTGCAATAACAAACGACAAAATACTTGATCACTTGCACATCAAACACACCGCCTACCGTAATATATCGAATGAAATATATCTCGAAAGAACGACAAAGGAACCAGACGAGCTTTGAAAGGCCTGGCGCCAAAAGTAAATATTTGCTCGACACCCAGAGCAAATAAATCGTAGCAGTTGTTGCTCTCCGAAGACAAGCAGCGACCTCCCCGGGTGGAGTCAGACTTGTGCGCGCAAATACCAAGCACATCGCAGCTTGTGTAAGGAGACAAATATCCTAGATATGCCTCTTGCTTGCTCTCTCTCTCTCTCTCTCTCTCTCTAGAGATTCTTTAGAGAGAGAGAGAGAGAGAGAGCGGATATTGAAAATAAACGCGAGTGGTCACGTCGCATCTCTCACTTCCGTTCTAACAAGCATCTTACGATCAAGCTAGTGGAATCTCGAGTGATCGAACTTGTGGATTGCGACTCAAAGAGGCCTGCCTTTTCTCGCAATCCAAATCGCGTTGACGCGGATTTTTACGACTATCCGCGAAACAAGATTAAAAATTAAATTTGACGAGAAGCAGCCGACCTACAGGTACATCCACGTCGTGTCGGAGTGCTTCCGCAAAGACCCATAAAATTGCTAATGTCGGGATGCCGGGGCAACGACGGACGCGTCAGCTCGCAAAGAGCGAAGACGAGCTACGTGCCGCGTAGCGGAATAAGAAAATGAAGAAAATAAGGAGCCGAGCGACAGGCAGTTAATTTGCATAGATTTTACGGGAGCGCGGAGCGCTAAACTTGCCGCTGACGCCAACTAACTTGTACTCTTAAGTATATACGTATATAGAGAGAAATATCGGCTAACAGAAAAGAGAGTTCGATTTCGCTTGGCAGTCAGCTTGATCAAAGCCCGGGATTCGGAATCCTCTCGGATAAAAGTTGATTTTTTTTGTCTGTTTGTTTTTTCAGCGCTGCCACGATCTTTGCTGCGTGCTCGAGAGGAGTTTGGAGCCGAACGAATCGACCTGGTTATCAGTGAACAATGGGAACGAGAGCTCGAAGACGCCTCTTTTAAGACGCTCGAAATAAAATTTGGAATATTGGCAGGATAAGATTTCCCTTTTTCATTGGTCCGTTCATAAAGTTGAATATCAATTTCACCTAGCAAGACCTGCTTATTGAAATTAAAGTTCATCGAGTATAAATAATAACTCAATTTAACTCAATAAATTATTCAAAAACATGAAAATACGAGTAGTCAGCATCTGAGTTGTGCGCGAACCGTTATAGAGTAAAATATTAAACGTCTCATTTCCATTGACGACTGCGACAAATATAGCGTTAAAAACGGATTTGCAGTTACGTAACTCAGCCGAACGGATTTTCCGTAATCTATAAGTTAGCGTGTGTTATTTTTTGCTCGCGAGATAAAAGCGTTCTTTCCGGCTGATATATGCGCTTAATGGTCGGCGCGTGGGGCTGCGCTTAGGGAGCCGCGATCATTCATCCGCCTAATGAATTACCTCGAGTATCAGCCACAACGGGACGCGCTTTTGCTTCCACCGTTATAGATGTAATTAAAAAAAATCGCAGTGGTATATTTGATTGGATAATAGATCAGCGAAGAGCTCGTTTCTCACTTTGTTTCTTTGTCATTGCTATGATTCGATTTTCAAATATCCAATATAGTAAGCATCTTTGATCGAACAATAGTTATTATTTTTATATGTAAAAGCCGACCGACGCGCGATGTCGCCTGCCCGAAAACGTCACGAATCGAAAAGTTTGAAGGGAGCCAAAACGTCGACGGCTGTCGGATCGAACGTAATAACAAGTGGCGTTTCCATCAGGTGCGCGACAAATGACAGCGTTGCGTTCTTTAAACGAAAATAATTCTCGTCTTCAGTAGTCGATCTGCAGGCATGGTCAGACAGGTATCCCGGCGCAGTCAATGGTAGCTACGCAAAAAGGTACTGTGGTATTGAATGGTCTTTTGAAAATATGCACGCGCGCACCGATACATCAAACGCAACGCGCACAGATAATGAAAATCAGCATCAATGCTTCTGGCAACTCTTTTGAAAAGCTTCTGAAAGGGGGCGCGTGACCGACATTTGCCTTATCACTTTTCGATTTCCAGAGAGTGGTAGCCGGTTTTGACACATCAGTCGTATCCGAAAAATCGCGCAATCGAACGCGGAAAGAGCGATGATAAAGAAAAAAACAAAGAAAAAAACTGAAAGGCTCTTGATGGCACGACACTTGCAGGGGGTTAGGTTTGGTCGACGACCGTTAAAGAGCTGCTCCTCTCTAATGGCGCGCGAGTGAAATGTAGAGCACAAAGTGGTTTGCGCTCGTTATCTCGATGTGTGTGCTGGGCGCGAGCGAGCGAGAGAGAACTGTATTATGCCTTCAGCGCCTCGGTTAATGAACGCGACGCAAGCGATGAAGTATGCGTGTGTGCATGTGTCTGCAGAATGAAGAAAGCTAATTATGGTATTAGGGTCGACGAGCTTCTCAAGACTAATAGCTTTTCCGCGGTTTAAACATCGCTCGGCTTCCTTCCTATACCCCCTTGCTTCCCGTTTGCCGGCTTTAAACATCGTTCGGATGCACCTTTCATCGACAGCAATTATCGTGGCATTTCAATTCTTTCGACTGAAAGTTATACGAAAATCCTCTGAAATGAGGCACTCGTGAGATTTTGTTGACTGCAACCATTTGAATGTAGTGTAAAGCATGGAAATCAATCCTGTAGAGCAATTTACTTCCCTTCAACAGTCGGTACAATAAACACGCGCCGCAACTTATAAACGGAGCATAGAAATTCAGCGCCACTGTTCATTTGCTAGCGGAGTTAAGCCTTTAATTTTTTACTCCCCAGCAGTAAAAATGAGCCGCTCTCCCTTCCTTCGCACTCCACGTCTTCAGTGCGACCGTGCATTTTTTCTTTTTCTCTTTTTGCACACGCGGCGAAAAAAAAAATTACGGTCTGCTTAAAAGCTTTTCGCTGGGCAGATCACGGGGTATGAGGATATCTAGCAGCTTTTATAGGCTTCGCGAGCATCGACTGCACCCATACTATGTATATATAGTTGTAGCATATACGTATTGTTCGATGTTCATCCACGCTAAGCTTTTCTGATCAGACTTTTATGATTCCAGAGTGAGATTTTTTTCTTTTGAAAAATGTTCGGGCTTATCATCAGCTGTCTTTTCTTTCATTTGAGTAAATTTTACAAGCTGCGAAATGAATATCCCTTCTTCAGAAAAGCTTTTTATAGATTTTCGTGGGTTGGATTATTTTTGTAGAAGCTGTTTGGAATTTCACGAGCTCTTTTGTTTTCATTTGCGTAGATATTTCAAACTGCAAGTTGCACTCGCTTTTCCAGAAATGTTTTTGCAATTTATTTTAAAAATTTTGCAAGCTGCATATAACATTCGCTTTTTGAGAAAATTTTGCATCGAGTTACTCGGATTCTATGCCTGATAAAAGGTTTGTTCAAACTGCTATAATTTTTAACTCTGCGATGCAAATATACAAATTTCATAGGCAACCCCTATCAACTCAAATACAATTTTATTTATTTTATATGTGAAAAAAAAAGAAAGAAAGAAAAGCAAATAAACAAATCGACACGCAGCTGCACTCTCACAATTGTGTAGATAGTCACGCTTATGAAATATTTGCAATGTCAAGCATAAAAGGTACCCTTACACGAATAGAACCCAAAGAAAAAGAGGACCCGTGCATGATCTCACCAGTCGAGGAAGTTCCACAAGCAGGTGAACATGGTAGAGGAGGCAGCAGCAGCAGTGCGGCCGGCTATCGAGCACATTTGTGGCGCGTTCGCAGCGAAACAAACGCCTTGGAAATTCGCGACCGGCCGAAAATTACAGTCCACCAGAGAGCGGCGAGCGCAGGCACGAGCGATCAATGCGCCAGTAGCAGCGGCTCACAATCCCTTCCTTCCCTTTCTTGCCTCTATTTCGTGCCGATTGCTCCGCGGCGGCTCCTACCCGCCACCGGCTCTTTCAATGTTATCATTAAATTATCACACGCGCACTTTTATTTCAGTCTCGCTCTCCGACGTCCGTCACTGCTATTCTCATTGTGCTCGCGGCACTGACGTTTTCATAATCGATCAATGGGCCAATCACTCGCTGAATTATTCAACGTTTGTGCAAGCAAACGCGCGATCGCGCGGTTGATTCATTTTACACAAACTGTCGGCATCCATATGTCATGTGCACGAGTTAATAACGGGATCGAACTTGTCATTTTCACTGCGACAGCTTCTGCGAACACGTAAACAGCGTTCGTCAATTTTTCTTTTTTTTTTTGTCTTTTTGTTTTTGCTCGATCAACGTCCGAATAGTCGTTATATTCCGGACGGCAAAACAAAAAGAAGAGAGATAATCGAGCGCGGCTTACGGGTGCGCGAACACACGCAGTGGCGAAAGGCATTTCGCGAGCGCAGGAAATTTCGGTCCCCCTGGCCGTCGTGCGTGCGTGCGCGGCCGCGCGTAAACATCGGCGCATGCGAATGCCGTGATGCGACGCGTCAAATGCTTGAATAACGAGCGCCGGGGAAAAAAAATTTTTGCCCTCGGTCTAATTGGAAAGCACGTTATTGCCGTCTACCGCCGTGTGGTTGGCTATCGCACTTTTCGTTTCAATTTATTCGCACGTGCAGTGATAAACGAATTTTCCCGTTCGACAATGAAACCTATATCCTCTGCGCGAAATGCTATCTCTGGAAAAAAAATATGGAGAGACTCTAATCCGCTGCGGGGGGTCGCGAAACTAATTAGAATTGTTGCCTTATACAGCAGCCGAAAAAGCATCGGCATTGATCGCTGCCGGCCGTACGCGCAATAACTTTTTCCTTGCGATTCACCTCGCCGCGCAAATTCTACATAACGTCAAAGTATTTCGCGCGACTAATCCAGTTCAACGTCGTCTTCGCTTGACTTATCCCCGACGTCCGAGTGCTTCTTCGGTCGACGTGGT